TCCCATCCATTTCCGTAAGCAATTGGTTCAAAACCCTGTCAGCAGCACCACCAGCATCTCCTACACTACTACCTCTCTGCAAGGCATAGCAAAGCAAGCATTTGAAGACAATTAACCAGAAAAGACAACAATAGTTGTCTAGACATGCTAATGTTCTCTGTACAACATATTTAGAATGAAAGCAGGAAGGCATAAATGTTTCAAAACCAATAAATTTTGCATAGTCCAAATAATAGCTTAGTAACCTTGATTGGTACAAACCTGAGTTGCAATAGAGTCAAGTTCATCAAAGAATAGAACACATGGAGCAGAACCACGAGCCTTGTCAAAAATTTCCCTCACATTAGCCTCACTTTCTCCAAACCACATTGTGAGCAGCTCAGGACCTTTGACACTGATGAAGTTTGCTTGACATTCATTGGCAATAGCTTTTGCCAAAAGTGTTTTACCACAACCAGGAGGACCATAAAAGAGAACTCCCTTTGAAGGTGACATTCCAAACTTTTCAAACTTTTCAGGGTGTTCCACCGGATATTGAACAGTCTGCAAAAAAGAACAGTATTAAAATCCAGAAGCAGATAAAAAGAAATTAGTGCATCAACGTGATTCAATGCAAGAGCTTCAATTACCTCTTGGAGCTCCCTCTTAACATTTTCAAGACCACCAATATCTTCCCAACTGACATTGGGCACTTCAACAACCTAATTCCAGAAATAAAGTTGAAATTAGAGAAACATCAACTTAAGAAGATGCAATCACAAAAAATTATCCAAGAAAGTCTGTACAAAAGAACAGTAAGGCATAAGCTTAACATTGATCAAAGGAACTTTAAAACTGCCAGATAAAATCTTACTGTTTCACGGAGAGCAGAAGGATTGCTTGATCCGAGAGCAGTCTGGAAATGCTCATTTGTCACTGCCATGGAGTTCAATATTTCAGCATCAATTGATTCATCTTCCAAGTCAATGACATCCATTTTCTCTCTGATGCATTGCAGTGCAGCTTCAGTACACAAAGCAGCTAGATCAGCACCAACATAACCATGGGTATCCTTAGCTATCCTTTCCAAATCGACCTGGAAATGACAAAATGGATAGGTTTCATTCAGAATTCAGAATATTTAAATCAAACCAAAACTTGGGGGAAATGAATTTCAATATTACATCTTCAGCAAGTTTCATATTCTTTGTATGAATTCGAAGCACTTCAAGACGCCCAACTTCATCTGGAACACCAATATCTATCTCTCGGTCAAACCTTCCAAACCTCCTAAGGGCAGGATCAATGCTGTTTGGGCGATTTGTGGCGCCAATAACAATTACATGAGCACGTGATTTGAGACCATCCATGAGGGTCAAGAGCTGGGAAACAATCCTCCTCTCAACTTCACCATGTGTCTTCTCCCTCTTTGGAGCTATTGAATCTATCTCATCAATGAAGATGATGGATGGTGCATTCTTCTCTGCTTCCTCGAATGCCTTCCTCAGATTGCTTTCACTCTCACCAGCTAGCTTTGACATGATCTCTGGGCCATTGATGCAGAAAAAGAAGGCACCAGTTTCATTTGCAACTGCTCGAGCAATTAAAGTCTTACCAGAACCAGGGGGTCCATACAGCAGAATTCCTTTTGGTGGCTTAACACCAATTGATTTGAACAATTGTGGGTGCCTCAGTGGCAGTTCCACTAGTTCCCGAATCTGTGCCATCTGCTTTCTTACACCACCAACATCATCATAACCAACCTCATCTAACCGATTCTCATCTTCCCTTTTAACAGGCTCTCCTTCACAGAAGATCTCTGTGTCTGGCGCGACAACACAGTACTCAGAAGGATCAGTTTCAATAACCTTGAATTCTACACTTCTCATCCCCCCTCTGACAAGGAAGAGGTCACCCTTTCTCACTGGCCTATATGCCTCCAGGAAATAAGCTACAGGAATAATAATGGTCTTAGTATTCAACATAAATTATAATGCAACGAGTTTAAATGACAGCAAGCAGGACAGATGCCAACGAAAATAACAGCAGAAGTTCAACAATGTCCTGTTGTTATTTTGAATTCAATACTTGCTGGTTAAAATTTCCCAGAGAAACCAGTGCTTAGTGAAACAATATTAAGCATAGACATTGTGCAACAACACAAGATGTACAATCACCTATCATGTATATAAATAAACTCGTGATGTTATATTGAACCTCCCATAACACAAGGAAACCACCATATAAGGATCATTGATTGTTTTGATTGGAATCATGGCAATTTCTTCTCAACAATCAACTATTTATCGGCAGTTGGACTTGGAGGTGTAATGTTCTAGAAAACGAAATAATAACTGTCCACAAAAGATAAAGTATTCTCGTGAAATGCAATTAAGTTATTATTGTAGAAGACAAGTGTTGCATCAAAGTAGAATTTATCACCAAAAGAGAACAAATGTTATCACTAAATATCATAAGATGAATTACAATTCATTTTTTAAATAAAGATTAACACTGTAAAGCTGCAGATGACTAAAGACAAGCATCATGCATATCACAGATATATAATCGATAACAAAACAACAGAAGAAACCTTTACAGGGTCCACCAAAACACAATGATGTAGTAACTCACGCTTTAAGTACGCATCAAAGAGGTTTCCTGTTACTCCTTCAATGGTGTCATCAACAGGAAGAATGTGGACTCGCTTTCCATATTTGACATCAGCACATTGATGCACTGAAACAACATCTCCAAGCCTAACCCTAAGGTTGTTTCTCACAACCTTGTTCATTCTTATCTTTGGCTCCTCGCATGTCTCATCAGCAAGTGCAATACAGATTGTATCTTTCCTTTTCTTTCCCTAAACAATCAAATGTGGAAGGCAAAACTGTAATGATTAAATAGGGCAAAGCTATCCCGAAGGAAAATACACAACACACCGCTCAAACTTCCACTATACACAATACGACAAAGCTTAAGTACAGAATTGACCCCTTTTCAAGTCAAATTTACTTCAGCAAAAAAAAAAAAAGAAGCAAGATATCTGCTCAGAAATTACTCACAACTCAAGTCGTAACAGCACAGAATGTTAACAATCTTTTTCAATTTCAAGTCACAATAATCACCACTCTTCTCTCTCAGTCTCACCCCTCTCGAGATGCACAACACACACCACCCTTCATACCATGTAAACAAACTTGATAATCAATGCAAATGCGTCGAACTTTCTGCTTTCTCTGATGCCCAAACCATAATAACACTATAACATCATTGCAAGTAAAGGGACCTCAAAGTTACACATACGATATCAAACACTTATAAACAATTCAAACATACTTTAACCCCTGGAAACAAACTTCCACTGTCCAATCACAATAAAAATAACAATAAGAAAACAATTCTCTAGCAAACAGACACAGTGATGTTAAAATATCAAATTGCAGCACGAAAACCAGCATTACCTTGATCAAAATGGTGTCGCCGCGAAAGAGCTGAAGCTTCTCCATGGTGTCAGGATGAAGAGCGACGACGGAGTTGTCATCGTTGACGGCTTCGTCAACAACGAGCCGGTTCGGCGCCTTCTTGCGCTCCAAAATCGCGGTGCTGAAGTCCCGCTTCGTGCCCTTACTGGAAAATAAAAAAATCAAAGACAATCATGCAACACAGAGGCACAGTCAGATTCATGAAAATGGAAAACAACAAGCGCAGTTAACAAGAACAGAAGAATCGCAGAAGGAGGAAAATCGTACGGATCAGATGATTCAGGTTGATTAGCCATGGTGGAAGAACAAGGTCTTCGTTCTTTGCTCTGCAGAAGACGGGTAAATCCACAGAGACGTGTAGATCTAAGTGCGGGTTTGGTTTGGTTTGGTTTGGTTTGGTGCAGCTATATTTATATGTGGGTTTTGCTCCGTTTCTTGTTAAGAAAGAAATACTTTTTATTTGCTTACTTCCGATTAAGTTATCGAATCAAACTTAGTTATATTTGCTTCATGAACGGACACATCTATCTAGCAAACATTTAAACTTAAGGATCTTCATAAGCTCCTCCATCTCGATTTATCCGATAAAATATTATTATAATTACTCCTTCTGTTTATTCATTTATTTTGGCTTCTACATTGAGTTGTTAAATTAAGTGATTTATTAGTGTAAGATGATAATTATTGATCATCTCAAGTTTTTAAGTTAATTCTTATAATTTATTTGCAAAGTAGTTCTAGTAATATAACAAGTTATAAACCAGTAATAATTAAACAACATGTGTTAAATGATTGAATAATATAAACCTAATTACGTACATTATGTTTTATGGCCACAATAAAAGTAAAAAATATATATCTCTTAATTAAATAATATTAATATCATTTTAAAAATTATAACAAGGAAATAGAAAAATAAATAAATAATAACATCAAAAGGAAGAAATAGTCTCCTAAATCTAAAACAATAATAAATCCATCTTATCGTAGTGAAGATAATAATAATAATAATAATACTTTAATATCTTATGTTAATTTTATTTTCCAATTTTATAAAAAATAATTAAAATATTTGGAAATAATTTTTAAAAGGTCATCATATTTTATACAATAAATATTTGATATATAAAACCAATATAAAATAAATGTCGTATTGATTACATAAGTGATTTAGTTTTTTATCATAAAAATTTTTTGGTCTAAACTAATGTGAATCTAAACTAATGTAAGCTCACATGAGTTAGCAACATTATCATTTTATAGTAATTAAGAATTAAAATTAACTTTTTTAAAAATATAGAGACTAAAACTGAAAAAGTAATTTTGTAAGGATTAAAATTAAAATACAGTATATTTAAAAAACAAAAAACATATTTAATAATAATAATAAAATTATCAATATAAAAAATAGTTAATTTAAACATTTTAATGATTTACGATTTCTTTTGTTATTGGCCGGAGGATATTTTAATGAAATTTTATAAGTTAAAGTCTGAGTGAGATAAATATAAATTGTTATGCACTTGCAGAGGGAGTAGGAGGTAGAGACTGTGAGGTATATAGATGTGGGTAAAACTGGAATAAGGTGTTTGTGGGCAGTTTGGATCGGAAGGGTGCGTTGTTGTTGGGTATCGAAGATCAAGTCAACTAAATGGGTTTAGCTTTAACCGTTGGAGTCGTAGGGCTTCTGATTCTGTTTCACGCCGCTTATTTAACCATCCGATGTATCCTCTTACTCATTCTTATTTTATTATTATTATCATTATTATGAATTTGAACATTAGGGCTCACGGATTTGGTTTGATCTGAAATTGGGTCGGTTGCAGATAAGGGCCTGTTGAAGATTATGGAGGAAGAGTTTTCAGGGCCTCCATTCAATGTAACTTTTAATTAACGTTGCAACTTTGGGTAGGGTTTCATGTTTCGTTTAATCTAATAATGTTTTGGGAATAATGCAGGTAATCATTGAGCTGTCTCTTGGATTGCTACTTTGTTTTTGGGCTGCGCTTACTGTGCCTGGCAAGTTTCTATCCATACACCCTCACTCTGAAGAAAACAGGTAATTGTAATTGTAACTGAGGAATTTAATTGTGAATGGTCTTCTAGGTGAACTAGTTTTAGATTTATTAGTTTTGGAAGAGTGATCTTTATGTTAGAGGCGCTGTACCTGATCTAAGATGCTCGTATTAGGTATTGTCTTTTTAAGGTTGGTCTGTCTTCATAGAATTTGGTCTTATAGAGCATATTTGATAGTTGATAGAGAGGACTGAAGCTATGCAGTGATACAGAAATCAAAATAGAGAAGGTGCAGAGGAAATGAAAAAGTTTCGCTTTCACCTTATGCATTATTGGCGAGAAGTTCAAAGCAAGAAATATTCAAACTAGGGGCATAGATGGATGCAGATATGTGGTTTTTTGTTGTGATTTTTCTTATCTTATCTCTACCAATCAAACCTGTGGTTTCTTATCATGCTATATGATGCTGATGCCCTTCCTTGATGATTTAGAATGGAGATTCTAGAAGGGATGGTCTTAGATGGATGAACCCTATAATCATTGATATTTCTTCATTTATTTGATGAGGTATCAGTATGTTATGTAAGTATGCTTAACAGACAGTTAGGAGTCACGTGGGTTGATATAAATAAAAGGAGGAAGGGGTAGTCATTTAGAACAGTTGAGGATTGACTGAAAGAGGTAGTTAGAGGAGAGAGCTCATGTCTCTCAATTACCTGGAACAGGGGGTTAGTGCATCTGCACTATCTTTGAATCGTTGATCTCATCTCTGATCTCTTCTCTGATCTTTTATTCCATTGATACAGATTAAGAGATATGGATTTTTGTTAATAAACTGTACTTTTTTTCTTTCTATATTCTGATCCAGTTCTATTACAAGGGTCCTTCAATTTGCTATGGGCCATTTAAGTTACTCCTGTCAGGTCCTTCATTCATATTCTGTTTCTGTTGGTAAATTATACGTAGATGGGTTTGTTTTTGGCTAATATGCTCAGTATTGACAATGTATAAAAAATGACTGTGTTAGTGGGATTTATTGAGAAAATACTGTATACTATTGCAGGAAAATGTTTTTAAGAGTAGTATGCCAATTGAAAAAAAAAAGTAGTGTTCAAAATGTGTTGGCCATGTATCATTAACATACGGTTAATTAATCCATAGGTTCCTTTACTTTTTAAATTTTTTTTTCAAATATGTCCCTATAGTTTTAAGATTCTCTCAATGGAGTCCCTGAATCCAGCTACTGTTAGAGATCTGTAGGGACCTGATTAATTGTGTTTTGAAACTACAGGTTTCATTTATAATTTTCAGCTTAAAGGGAACCACTTGAAATTCCTAAATGTATAGCAACCTCTATCTTTATTGTGCCCATGATTATGGGATATACCTTCATATTGTAGTGATTTACTCTGACTCTGCTGGCAAATATCACTTGTTATGGAATTATTTGGATTCCAATCACTGTGTCGTTGGATGCAGGATTGTCTCTTTACCTGCCAACCTAGACTTCATGATCTTCAACCACCGAGGCAAGGTCTTTCCTGTTGAAATGGATGTGAAGCTAAAGCAATGAGGGACTTTTGGATCAAGTGCCTTCATTCCTCATATGAGGAGGAAATCTTTGCTCTGGAAAATTCAATCAGGATGTGCATTTGATATCACCATTGGTTGATGTATGAGATTTGTTGTTTCCTTTTGTAATTTGTAGCTTATACTTTTGTGTACTGGCCACTTGCCCTAGTAATTTTGACAGGATGTTGTTAATTGAGTCATTTATGAAGATGTAGCTTGCACTTTCAACCATTCTTACCCAATTGATTTACTAAAGCCTCAAGTTAACTTGTAGGAGGTATGTGTCCAAAACGAGACATTTTGTTGAACGAAGCTTTCTCACCGGCCAACCCAAGGGACCGAAAAGCTGGTTTTCCCATTTTCGCTGCCACCCCCCTTCCCCCATGTCATTTTGCACTTTCAAACTAGAAGCTAAGTTGCAACGTGAAGCTGCAAATTTCTTATAGTAAAATACCAATGAACAAACAAAAATAACAAACTAATGTACAAGAAAGAGAGTTCTTCAGGATTTTCTCTATGTTTTAGAATGTTGTCTGTAACATACCCTTCTCCTGATGTCGGGTATTTAAAGAGTCACCGATAATATTCTTCCCACTTCTAAACTTGAAATTTGAATGTTGAGGTCAAGTAGTAGAAAGGTGATTAAATGTACTTCACAAATAGTATGGCAACAAGGGCTTGGTACTTAGCTTGAGATGTTGCTTTGGTTCTCTGACTTCCAAGAAACCAGGGAAGAACCGAAATAAACCCATTATTCAGGGGGCGAGGAGGAAAGCAATCCTTGACCTGGGTATACTTCAGTATTCAGAGAACATCTTGGTGGTAAAGACTGAAGATCATGTGGGGCAGCTAGGAATTGACTCAATTGTTGAACAGTAAAGAAAGGAAGTACAACAATTTGAAGCAATAATGGCATTGGCAGAGGAAAAAAATGTGATTTGCATTATGTTTATGAGATTTCTACCACCCAACTACCTAATTTATCGTTGTCTTACATGAAAAGAAAAATATAGAGGAATAAATTTGGTCGGTTGCACTACTATATCAAGAATCCATTTTACAGGAAAGGATTTACCTATTTTAGTTGAAATTGTGCTATATTGCTGAACCAAGTTTGTCACAAACGTTTCTTGTAACAAACATTTACATAGTGTGCTTAAGTTTGTCAGAGCATGCTTGGATCTTGGCATGCAAGATTTCCGTATTTCTTGGAATCAAAGGATGAAGCAACGACGGTTTTAATAAGCATTATGCTTTGGATTGTTGACAAGCTCAATGCACAACTGCCTCTTTTGCTGACTAATCAAGGTTAAAAAAACACCATGTTGATGGTGGGAAATGACTCCATGATCATAATCTGGGATTTCACTCTTAGTACTGTTCATTGAATCCTCTTGGGAAAAGTGATAACATAATCTGATTTTCGTACTCGTTAACCTTGAGAAGAGCATCACAAGTGCTTGGTGCATTGCCTGTACACATGGGAATTGGTTTGAGAATATCTAATTCATCCTAGAAGGTTTTCATGCCAGTGAAGTGACCGGTAAATCACCTTGTTTGAAGCTGTAAACATCTTCTGAAATTATATGTATACATTAATATTCCCTTCTTTCAAATTTCATACATCACATAAATGTCAAAATTTTAACAGAATGTAGATGTCAGCATAAATATCAGAAAAAGCATAATACATGCCAAAACAATTAGGTGATTAGAGGCTTACGCGCTAAAGGTGCCTCATGAAATTTTTCGGCTTGTGTTCTAATACATTTTCTGTGAGCTGTCAAGTCAACATTTAAAATGGGACAACCCTGCAATCGTAAGTGCGATCATTTTCAAGAGAAAACGTATTTTGGTAGATGCATGTTGAACATATGGTCTTTATGCTCTTTACGTTAACGATCCTTGGGTGGGACCAATGCGTTATCGTTGCATGACCAAGATACATATGTTCGGAATAATACTAAAATAACACAGATGATGAGATGTATATATGGAGCAAATACATATAACAAATCATACAAATAAGAAAAAGATAGGAAGGAAAAAGAGAGAAACATAAAATAAAATGACTAATGTGATAACGAGAAAAAGATAAAAAATAAAATAAAATAAAAAGAAGTAAATGATACATAAACTATTGTATAAGTAAAATATCTCTCAACATATATATGCAACTAATTGTATATAAATGTCTAAAAACCAGACAAGATGTTCTCTCTTCCTTCTCATGCTATACGCTTCCTGCAATTAAGCTGTGATAGTGGACATCGTTTTGCTAAGCACCTAATTAGCAAATTATATGACATGCTAGTTCTTTCACTTTTAAATGATAACAACAACAACAATAATAATAATAATAATAATTTAACGTGGAGGGGCAGAGTGAAAGTTGAATAATTAGTGGACAAGAAGATTGATTGCACTGTTGATGAAAGCATTTCTAACACGATTATACCAGTGGTACTGCACATGCAGGAAGCAGGGCTTCTGCTTGGATGAACAAAAGCATGTATGAAATGGCTTCTGCTTTTCTTTGAGCCATGTTTGGAAAGCCTTATAAGTATACTCAATATAGCTATTTTGCACCAAACTACATGTTGAGCACATGACATGCCATCTTATTCTTATAGACGTTAGTTTAGCACCACGTCAATCCCATTCTCTTGCTAACCTAATTAAGGCAGTTAGACTGAACAATCCCAACACTATCTTGTTAGAGGGCTGAAATCTATTAAAATTGATATTTTTTTCTAGTCACACTTGTAAGGGATGCTCTGCATTTGATTTGTTTCTCGTTTTTTCTTTTGACAATTATATAGGATCTTCTTTATATGAAATCTAATGTTTCTAAAGCTCACAATGCCACGAAGAATAGTGCTTCTGCTGAGGGAGAATCCGAAACCTGTCGCTCCCATACACAAATGACCAAAAGGAAAGAAAATGTGGCAATTTGTTCAGATTTTATCCAGTGCAACAAGCTAATATAAATAATTAACCAAAGCATGTAATAATATCAATTTGATACAGGCCATTTTTAAAAGTCTAATATGTCCTTTTTAAAATTTCAATCACACTTGTAGAAAAAAATTACTTTGTATTTTTTCTAAAACAGGTATAAAATGTTTATCTTTCAATAAAATAATGAGCACAAATTTATATATAAATAGATGATCGATTTTTTTACTAAAAAAAAAATACACTTTTTAAAAATTATTTACTGAAAGATGTACATAAAATATAATTTACTTATAAGGTAATTTTCGTATACAATATGCGTCGCTTAGGTGAGATTAATTAAAAAAACAATTATATATCTATATGTTGGCAAATATTATTTTCATAGCTTCTCTCTCTCCCACAAAGATTAGGAAGCCTTTTTTCAAGGCATTTCTCTCTCTCTATCTCTTACTTGATGGACAATACTCTTCCAAATGAGAAAGAATATGTTTACTATGGACTTAATATTTTTTATTTACTTATTTTAAATAATCTCACCTGATTAAAATCATCCTAAACAAGTAAATTATATATATATATATATATATATGGGGTTAAAAAGCCTAAACAAACTTAAACATTAAATATATAATTCTAAAAATTATTATTTTTATTGTGTTCATCGTTATAAGTTGCATGTTAATGAGAACTTGAGATTGTATAGAAAGATGATTAATGATTAGTAGGGTACCCTCCACTTTTGGCACATTTTGCTCTTGTTGGAGCATCTAGAATCTTCTGTAATTCTTGAGGCTTGCAAGGGACTGCACGAGTTCCCTTTTGCCTGAAACCATACTCCTCACGGGCCTGTTCCAGTAGTCCAATGAACATAGGATCAGTCAAGTACTCTTAACTCCACAATAAATCTTCTGCATTCTTCGCCATTCATAGCAAGAACAGCAAAATGTCCTTCCTTAACATCGTCTGCCACCAACGTTGTTGCTTCATCTTCACGTTAAATATTTTATTTTTAATAGTTAATATGGTTAATACATGTTATTTATAACATTTATATTAATTATTTATATTTTGTTAAGTTCAATAAAAATAATTTAATTTTAATAAATTTTTAGACTATTAATTAAAAATATTTAGCCTATTAGAGTTGATGAGAATTCTAATAAGTTTATAATCATAAAATTTGTAATAGAATTCAATACGTTAAAATAAAAAACATTTTTCTAACTCTTCGTTAAAAATAAAAAATTTAGTATTTTTGACTGAAAAAGATCATTGTACAAAAGAAATATTTTATTATAACCTTAAAGTTCATTGCATTATTAAAAAAGTTATTCTACTGCAATCTTTAGTCAATTTTAATGGATCTAAATATTTTTAAAACTTTCTATCTCTATTCAATAATCTGATGCAATAATTTTTGAGTTTTATTTAAAATTTTATATGTTTTAAAAGGGAGAATTTTTAACACTTCCTGAATGTCAAGTGATGGCTCTTTGCATGGAAAGGGGTGAGAGATTCTTTTGGAAATTCTTAATAAATAAACTAAGCATCTTGAAAGTCGATGTGTTCTATTTTCTCAATAGGTATATGTAGTGAACTTCATTGAGCTTCATGGTAATGGTAAGCCTCTCTATATTTGAGTTTGGTCACTTATATTGAGACGTAAGAACATGGAGAAGAACACGTGAAATTTCCTAGACTCTTCAATTCAATCCTAATATTTGATGGGTCATTGTCTTCCTTCACCAAAACGTGACAACCGACCTATTTTAAGGCTATGTTTTGTAATGAAATTGTGGAGGAATGTAGGGTTTTTTTATTTTTTGCAAAAATATATATTTTTTAATTTAATAATTTTATGAAATGAAAAAATAAAATAATAAATTAGCATGAATATCTCAATCTTTATTTATTTTTATGAATATTTTATAACTTTTAAATTTGAAATTATAATTAAAATAGATTGTAAGTTTGTCTTTTCAGTTTTCACTAAAATATCATATTTCTAAACAAACCTTAACATTATTTTTGTTTAGACTGAAATAGCAAAGATGAAAATAGTCATCGATGAAATTGTAGCATTTCAACTCATTTCATAGGTTTGGTTAAGGTTAAATGCATGACTGATTTTTTTAAATTTCAGTGTAATCCACCTAAAATAATTTCAACTTATCATTACCGTGAAATCTAAATGAATTAATTTTTTTTATGAATACTTTTATCCTTACAAAAAATATTTGATAATTAATGTAAGGATAAAATAAATTTTATTTATTTATATTTTAATCTATCCTATTTATAATCCAAACCTACATTATTTTATTTTTCTCTATTTCATTCATCTCTATTTACTCATTTCATCGTAACAATGCATAAAATTTAGATTCTTTCCCCTGGGTTAGACGTTCAATTAGTTAATTTTACTTTTTTTTTAACCCAAATATTTTTGCTTAAATAAAATTGGTAAAATTTTGTTTATCTGAATCGTCTAATTCGTACCAAAGAAAGAGAAGTTATAGACATATATAGATTTCATCAGCCAGATATTTTGGCCTAAAAGAAAATAGACATTATAATCTCCAAATCAATTTCACTTTTCAGATCATTCATCATGAGTTAGGACTTGGGAGTCATCCCTGGATTCTAAGATTTTGATTGATTTGAATGTTTTTGAAAGAAAAGAGCTTTTATATCACAGGTCCCTGATTCCTGATTGCAAGATCTGTTAGGGGGAACATATACGGACAATACTTGGGGTTTTTATTTCTTGGCCCTTATTTTGTAAGGAATGTCTACAGGGGATAGATTAACCGGTGTTACTGTGTTGGTAGTATCATTTCAACTGTTCCTAGTTCTTGGCAGGTTTAGTTTTTGCTGTATTTTACTGTTGTTGTTGTTATTATTATTATTATTATTATTATTATCTCTTCTCTTAAGTAATTTTTTGAAATAAAATGACAACCATTCTCGGGATTCTAAATCATGTTGTTTGTCTTCTGTCATATATATAACAAAGTCTAATATATAGTTGAAACTTTATTTCCATATTGAGCTTCCAAACATTGACTATTCAAGGTGTTGATTCTTTTTGTCCATTATTTGGTTTAGAATACTACCATCTAATCCTGAAAGCCCTTGAAGCTGTGCTCTCTGAGGGACATGCAAGTGTGCAAATTGCATTATACAAATAAATGAGACACTAGAATATCTGAGAGCTTGCCGTATGGTCAACATCCCCATTTTTTATCTTAAAGGAAAGGAAAAGCAACGCCATGTGATGCTTCATGAATCGTAGGTATCACTGTTTGCCCCTTTCTGGTTGAAGTTAACAACTGTGTCATTGGTATATATATTGTTACTAACTAATTATCATTTTCTTCAATGTGAATGGGGTCTACGGAAAAACGCTTTTATCATACGTATGATGGGACCTAGCATGTGACTGCACAATGTATTCATAAATCACACAAGAATAGTGTTTTACATGTTCAGTATTTATTTCATAGATTATGATAAAAAAAGTGTAGCTAGGGACATTCAGCTAAATGCATAGTGATTTGAATTTTGCCATGTGCATAGAACAACACTATAATTAATACTTATGTCAATTGGTGTTTCGAAAGAATAACAATAAGGTGGGCTCTTTGTAGAATTGTTATGTGGATAAGTAACCCATGATCATGTTTTGGAGTAAGACATGCCAAAGTCTAATTAGGCAAGAGGTTGAAACGTTTGGAGTAAGACAAGAGATGCATGGTCTCAAGCGGGTTTGGGTTCAGGTTTTGATCCAGTTTGATTGGTACTGAGCGGTTGTGGATCTTGCAGAGTCCGGTCCCATTCGTTATTGGGCCTATTGTGTAGGGTTCATCAAAACATATGGCATCAAATGTATTTTATTTGTTCAATTTACTTGTTACGGCTTGAGCTAATTTCCTTCTTCAGCAATAAGCTGATCATGTTTAAATCTGTAGTACAAGATAATGTATTTCAGGTAAATTCGGCCAAGTTCTTTTCAATGGTTCTAAAAAATTTTTAAAAAATGGACTTACATTAATCACCATGCGAGGCTGAAAATTGAGGTTAATTAATCCCATATACATTTAGTTATGAACAATCAAAAAAATTATTATAATAAAAAGTAATTGTAGGAAATGGGAATATATGATAACATGAACACTACAAAAGATGTTATTTATTAATTACTATAAATATTAGTATAATACATTATTCATTAGTATATATCTTTAAAGTCAATATTAATAATTTATTTTTTTGTTAAACAAAGATTATGTTGAAAAATCTTAACATATGACAAATTTTATTTATTAATAAATAATATTTTTTATTGTGGAACCATTTGATCCTTCTTTTGTAGTTAAGGGTATTAACTGATCTAGTCTTTTATTTTAAAATTCGAGTAATCAATTGATCAGTAAATATATCTGTTTTAGTCTATAATTGTTTGTAAATTTATGAGAGTTTTCTTTTCGTCGTAACATCTTCAACTTGGAAAATTCTGTAAGTTTCAGAAATAGATTCAGTGGTATATTTTACTGCACAAGATTTCACTTATGAAAATCATATTATTCTAATATTTATATTTATAAAATAACAGATTTTAATAATTAAATTTAACATCGTAACTCCGGCGATGTGGCACTTGAGAAAAATCCCAATCCGTAAGTTGGAATCGTACGAGCAAAATGACAATTTTATCATTTAGCTTAAATTAAACATATGAGAGAGAGAGAATAAGAGGAACTGAGGGAGCAACATATGTGACATAAACAATACGAATGTAAATGGTTCACGCGTAAGAGGAAACCGTGGCATGTGATACAGCAACTAGCATTCTGCACTGTGTCAATATTCTATCATTCTTTTCTGACGTATTTCTGTGCACACAGTTAATTTTTCAGTGTTTTTTCAAATGCATGATCTTGAGTTCAAACTCTTACCTAGAAAAATAGATTAAAAATGATAAATATTGACGAATAGTAGAATGATTAAACAATGTTGTGTTCAGTTTTTCATCTGTCGCGTTAAAGTTTTGCAGAAAAAATTTAGAAAGTTATTATTGTGCTTTTCTATTCATTGTTTCTGAATAATACAATTTAGTGTAATTTTATTTCAAAAAAATATATTGCAAAAAATCTTGAAAATTTGTGAGGGAAACTTGAAACAAGACAAATGAATTAACTCCCCTAATTAATAAAAAAAATGTCAAGAATTTAATTGCTACGACTTGAACCTTGTGACTACTCCATGATAATCCTCTGAACTTTACGTCTATGTTACTTCATGTAACGTAGTACTTGTTCAAATTTCAGTTAATCTAACGTGGTACACAATTGGTTTAAATTAATTTATACACATTTCTAACTAAGACAACCAGACCCTTAATACTTACTTAAAACTAGAGTAGTACTGAGATAGTTGCATAACCACCAAACCTATAATATGTTTTAAAGTACTTTTTTAAAATCATATTATTATGGTAAATGTGCCTCAAAATTATGTATGAGTATTTTTATCTCTCATGGTCATATCAATCTTATCGCGCATTTATTATTATTTTTATACAAAAATTTGTATGAATTAAATATATAAATATATTTTGTCGTTATGTAGTCTGGAAAAAATTGTAGGCTACACATATTTTAATATTGCTAATTAATTGGCAAATATAAGTACTATTTCTCACCCTTTTTTTATTCAATGTTTTCTCACACATTACAAGTAATGCCAACAAAAGAAATTAAGCAAACCTTACACAGTTGCAATTAAATGCATGGTTCAATATATCATATTATATTAACATCAATGAAACATATGTATTTACTAGCTCGCTACAACTCCGTCATTTGACTGTAACACGAATAACGGAGCACATGCACTACATATGAGTTAACATTAATTTCATGTTAACTCATTCCCCATAACATATAGTTTATCTATGCGTCTCAAAAATGACTGGAATCATCTTCCATCTGTCGTATTTTTGGAACAAAGTTGTCACACCAACAATGTTACATATGTTCAAAATTAAAAAGAAGATTGGCAATAGGCAGAAGTATTCCTTTTCAATGCTCCACCTATGCAAAACTTGTAATAATGTTACAAAGAAATAAATAAAAAATTGATACAGTTCTTTACGTGCTTTAGTGATGTTTTTCAATAAAATTAAAATTTTATCTTAATAAAAAAATCAACATTTAATATCATCATAAATTATTAAAATAAAACTCTAATTGTAATTTAAAAAATAATAAAAACACGTCAGAAACTGTATCTAAATTTTGTTTAAAAAAATATGAATATATGTGTATTGCTTAGTTAATGTATATGGACAGAAGTGTTAATTACGAAGTGACACTGTTCCCTTGTCGATTCTCTATAATCTTCTGAAGTTCTTGGGGACTACAAGGCACCACAAGAGCACCTTTCTGTCCAAAACCATACTCTTCCCTAGCCTCCTCCAGCAGCCTCAAGAAAGAAGGATCAGTTAAATAATCTAACTCAACAACGAACCTCTTTGTTTCTTCACCCTGCATTGCTATAACTGCAAAATGTCCTTCTCTAACATCTTCTGGCACCCTTGTTGTTGTTGTTTCATTCCCATCATCAATGTCACTCCAATAACAAACCCTTCTCGGATATGCTCTATTGAGTGCCAAGAATGGAAAACCCTTTAGCACCTTTTCGATCATAGCCTTGAATGTCTTCTTTCTTCCAATATCCATCGCTATATATCTTGTTCTTTAATGTTCTTGACTAATTGACAGTGATAGTGTTGTGGTTGAGTCAATGTTGAAACAAACTATATATAACTTATAATTTGGAACTTTTAAGTACTAGTGTTCATTGTAGAGTATATATATGTGTGTGTGTGAATTTTATAAAGCTTACTCGAATGGGAATAGGGATGGGAAACACACACGAAGCTTCTCTCCTTGCATGTGGAGCAATATCTATTCCGTGTGTTGTAGTAGCTACAGATCATTTAATGCAAATTTTGACGCGTCGGTTTCTTTCCTAATCTTTACGCGGGACTTTGTTCTTTGCCAAAGTACACTTCGTTTTTGGCCTAATTTGCTGTCTGGATGACACTGCCATATAATTGAGAATCAGAAGCTCGGTTTGTACATCAAAATTATATTTAAAACTTTGTATAATTTTTTAATTACGAGAAAGATAAAAAAAGAAAAGACATGATTGTGGAATTAAATAAATAATATGATAGAGAGAAATAAAAAATGGATTATAGATTTTTCATAAAAGGTGTATAAAAAATGGGGTAACTCATTGAGAATCATAGATGATGCAGCCAAAGGACTTTTTCCTGGCCTAATTCGCTGTCTCTGACTATCATGTACTATAAAATATATAAATATATTCATACGTGTATACACACACAATTGAGTAGCAAACATACACCATAAAACCAATTTTGCTCCTTGTTGGGTCAAATAAAACTAATGTCAAGTGCGGAAGTCATGGATTTGCTAATGGACATCCTTGCATTTTCATCGGCCATACAACAATTCAAGGTTTTCTTGACGGTGTTCGTACATCCAGTATATGTCGGCAAAAGAATTTTCAACGTGTTCATATATCAACAAATTAATATCCCCCTCTCGTTGACCATAATTGGATTGATAACATTATTTTATTGGCCAAGTCCAAATTTGTTTACAAATATTATAAAATTTTATAATATCCCAAATGTGAATGATATCACTTTATATTCGAAGATAGAGTACCACACTAAAAGTAAGAAGAATAACAAGTCAGATTAAGTTATGACATAATTAAAGTCTAAAGCCATTAAAATCTTAATTTAATTCAGATCAATTTGTTATTCTTTTTAAAAGACAAAACCCAAACCAAATTAAATCTTGATTTTTTTGCCACATTTGATTCATATTTTTCTTTTATTCCTCTCTTTTCTTTGTGTTAGACGTCCCGTTGTGAGCTTTGCAAGTTTCCAACGCGATTGTATATGAAATGTAATTTAAAGAAATGTCACACTGTGAACAAGAAGAAAAAATAAAAAACAAAGAAGTGTCACACTCATTTTTCAACCAAATTAACTCGAACAAATCTACATTGATGAGTTCGACTTAAGTCCACGTGCTTGCTGAGTCTAACTTCATTTTAATTTTCAGTTAAATTTTTAGAATGAATTGGGTCTATTTTGTTAATAATGTTAATTTTATTCATAATTATCCAATAAAATACTCCACTTTTTTTGGGAACCTTTGGTAGACAATATATATATATATATATATATATATATATATATATATATATATATATATATATATTAAAAAATAAATTTTAAAATTTATTTATAATTTATTTTTAAAAGTTTTGTATTCCACGTAGAATTAATGCGAGTTTAAACCCTACTATTAAGGCAAGGATTTTATTAGTTAGTGGACGATCTATAAATATCTTTTTTTAGTCTCTTCAGACTTGCCTTCATCCTAATAAATTCTCGTGACGTAACTAACCTAAATTTTTACTTAAAACACATTTTAAAAATTTAATTTAAAAAATAAAAGAATTGATGTAATTGACAAAATCAAATAGTACACAAAATGTTAACAAAAATTAGTTTAATCGGTAAAAATTAAACTCATATCTCAAACTCCATTGATAGATAATCTATATATAAATACTTCAGTAAGTTGATTTTTTTTAATCTTAAGATATGTCCTAACCTTAATAAGTCCTTAAAATTTAATTCATTTAAATATTTTGTAAAAAATAAAAAGATAACAAAAAGTATTTTTTATATAAATTACAGAAAAAATAAAATATTGATATTTGACGTTGACGCTTAGAAGGTAAATGTTCCACATAGTATCCCCTGTTTGGGCTCAGGGTCCATTGAGAGAAGTCGATGATTTGTTAATCATAATAAACAAAAGATTCAGTAATCATGACTCAACACACCAAGGTTACGAATCATAAGAAACGACAAGGTAGACACAAATTATAATTATAGTTTATTAGTGTTCTTGAAAAATATATGAATACATATTTTATATTTGACTTGATATTTAAATAAAATTTAATAATCTATATTTATTATTTTTATAATAAATATTTTTTAAAATATTTCTCTTTCTCTCTCTCTTTTCTCTCATTTAGAAAGTTTAGAGAGAAAGAAAAATATGTTGCAAAAAGTATATTTCATTTATATACAATTACTTAAAGGGTATGCTTGCAGGGAGGATAAAGTAGAAAGGAAAAATAAAATAAAAAATGTGTTGTTTAAATGAATAAAAATAAATAAATAATTTATTAAAAATAAATATATTATATAAAAAAAATTTATAATAAAAAATTGAAACTTTTTATGTAAATTTTTTTATTAATATGTATTTATTTAATTTTTTGTATTGTCTTAAAATTATTTAAACATTAAAATAAATCAAATAAAAACAATCGCTCTATCGTCCAACCAATTTCACTGCCAAAGAGGTGGGAAAGTTTAATGCTAGCCCCACCAATGCTTTTTCTTTGCTTCTTATTAACCATAAATGTACCAAACTACGGCAATGATTCTTTTCACCCTAAATGAAGCTTATGTATTATAATTATAATTTTGCAAATACTCACCCATAACATTTCTTGTATCGTTTAAGTTATATCTTATTTTCTACGAGATTTATTTTTATTTTTATTTTATATATTTATCCTCTTTAAAATAAAAAATCAAATTTATTTAATTTTATCTGTTTTAATTTAAAAAAGACATGCTCCAACTGTATTATGTTTTTTATGAAATGATAAAAATGTTAAACTTGTTTCATTCTTTACGAATAAGAACTCTAATTTTTTTCATTGGATTAAAAATTTTAGTAAAAGCATGAATATCACTTGAATTTAATTAACTTTCTTAAAGTAAAATCTTTAGTCTCCTGAATTTATTATAATTAATTTTTAGACATAATAATATTTACTTGAATAACTAAAACATGTATTATTGAGAATATATATTATCACCCTCCTTCAAAAATACTCACAATAATTTTTAAAAAAATCGCTAATATTCAAAGTAAGGTTTTCTACGCAATGGTATTCAACTTAAAAAAAAAAAAAAAGACTTAGCGATGTGGTGGACTAGTTAGTCATGTTTATATATGTTAATTCAAACTTTCAAGTCACACCTTCAAAGAATTTGATTAAGTTTGAGCAAATGTTATTAAATTCAAATTAGTCATTGATTTGGTAAAAATATTAAACATTAAATTACTTATTTAATTAGTGAGTTATTATATATATATATATATATAAAGAGAGAGACATTTCAAGTAAAAAGTGTTTATTATTATGAGAAGTAGTAAAATACATTAACAATGGCCATTAAATCAAAATAAATAGCTTAAATTTGATATTACTACTTCAGTATTTACTTTTCTCTCTCTCTTCCTATCAATTATTATTAATATCTCTCAATCTTTATTTGAAATATCTTCTGTATATATATATATGTACACACAAATGTGTGTTGTGTATCTTATTAAAAATTATAAAATTTAATGCAATTGAATGTATTAATATTATTAGAGATAAGAAAAATCAAAACAATGTTAAGATAAAATTTATAATTTATATTATTAAAAAAATTAACATTAATCTAAACACATTCATAACTAGACAATGCTGTGGGCCACAACAGAGGATGAGAAGAAGAGGGAACCGGTTGGAGTTGGAAGGCGTGGAACAATGAAAGGGCACAGATTTGTTTTCTTAATTAGTAGGCACGCTAGGATATGTAGCTAAGCGAAGCAAGTTCCATGGTCAATATTAGATTGCTAAATTATAGCTAATAAAAATTGCAATGTATTAATTAAGTTACACCGTCAATCTGAGTAAGAACTAAGAAGAAAAGAAAAAGAGAGGTAAAAAACATAATTATGACATGGAACAAATTTGTGTACTGCACCCTCGCATGTGTCTGCCTTTGCATAGGGTCGCTAACTAATAACAAAATAGGATGTCGGTTGTCCCATACTTCAATTGGAACCGCCACTTTATGTCCAAATCATCTGTAACTGTTCTCATGTTTTCCTTTAATCTGCATTTGGGATAGAGACTCCAATCCGTGCCACTCTTAACACACACGAACTTGAACATATCAACATCAAAAGTTCTAAGAATATCAACAGATCACATTATTAAATAGCAAGATTTAAGTTTTATTTTAGAAAATAGTCCACACGCACAAAAAGGTATATAAACTCGAGAGATAAAAAATAAAAAAAAAGAGTAGCAGATATAATAAAACTGAGATGTTTGTAAATTAAAAATATAGGTGGTATGATTGTCGAGTCCTATTCACATGAGCTAACAGTGGGTGGATGAATAAAACAAAATAGAATGAAAAGATTGTTAATTTTTCGAGTGTCATTGTCTTATACCAATTATTAAGCTTGCATTAAGCTAATCACCTTAGATTGGATAAGCAATGCATGTGAATGTGATTCATTTCTTCCTACAGGTGAATCTTCAGTCGCCTTAGTATATTTGGCACTTGCGTTACACATATTTCATTAGAGCATATTCATCCATAATCAATTCATAAATTTTCTTTCCATTTCAGATTTTAATTTGTATCACTTTTTTTCATACCTCAAATTTATTCATTAAGGATCGTAATCTACTCCATACATCATAACCTGCGAGTATAGCCACCTGCAATATATAATTTATCATCCTTGTTGGTCTCATAATTAGATAGCACACAATGGAATTTTAGTGCTCTTTGTTTTCTGGTTTACCTAACAAGACAGTGTTTTTTTTTTTTTTTTTTTAAAGTCAACGGATACAAATTATCAGGGTGAGTTACGAATTACGATGTATATTTAAAGGACTTGATTTTAGATGCTTTACCAATCAAACTGTCAGTGTAATTAAAAATAGACATTTCAATGCCCCTTTTATCAAAATTAAAATTATATCGTGGGCCTAACGAAGTTTTAAAGGATATATTTATAGATATTATATAAATTTTGGAAATTATATGATAGGCCGATCCTATTTTCAGATGTTAAATGGATGGAAGAAGAGAGATGAGAAAAGAAAGATAAAAAAATATGTGATAAAAAGATAAAAAATAAATAAATAAAAGATAAAATTAATATAAAAATATAAAAGTTGATAAAATTTACCGTTCTTTATTTTATTTTAAAAAATAATCATTTTTATTATTTTCTATTAAATTTTTTGAAAAATAATTATTTCTAAACATTCACTTAACTATATATAAAAATTTACTAATTCACTTTCACTCACTCTACCAACAATCTCACTTTGGTAATGATTTTAACCGCAAATAAACCATTGTTCAATCTTTTATTTATTTGGCTTTTTCTTTTTTGTCAATTGTCTTTTACTAGCTTAAAAAATGCTGAAGTCTACGAAAACGAAGACTTATTTCGTGGAACGCCACCCAAAATCAGAAACAGGAGTGAAATATTTGCGTTTCGTGATTTAGCCTTAAAGTGATTTAGACAACTTTTGAGTTGTAATAAATATTTTTAATATTGTAAAAATACTAAAATTATTTAATATTTTTTATTTAGTAAATATAAAATTTATTAAAAGGATTGATGCGGTAAAAATTAAAATTACCCATAATTAAGATATTTTACCTTTTCTTGTAAAGTAGTCAAATCCTTTGATCATATACGTAAGTATCATTTTATGGTAAAGTTGATTTACATGTATCCAAGCCATAACAAAATCAAAGCGACATCTTATCTAATAAAAGAGGTAAGAAATAATAGATGTAATCAATGATATAAAAAAAATACAAAAACATGAAAAATATCAAATAAATAATAACATTATTAATGTATTTATAAATTATAATTCTTCTATCATATTATTGATAATTATACTTATTACAATGGCCTTTCGTATTCGCAAATCATAACCATGGCCATCCCCTAGATACAACACTGACATGAATTTCAGACACCAAAAATAGAAAAAATATTTTTTGTATAACTCTTTTTTATCAGGCATACTGTCCGTTTATGGATTAATTTTAAAACTTTAATTCCAAAAGAATGCTTAATACATTTTTAAATTTTCAGTCAGGAAATGTATTAACCATTTTTAGAATTAAATTTTTAAAAGAGCATTCAATACATTAAGTAATGCGAAATAAGTAATAAACCTAACAAAAAGGAGTAATACAAAAATAATTCCTTAAAAAGCACATCAAAATGACTAACCTAATCGCTATGGATTGCTACTATGTGTAAGGCGACCCTAAACACTACAGCATACGAATAAAGTATACCTTTGCAAGGGAAGACATCTAAGACAACACAGGTCACGGTATCATGCAACTCTAATCCCCTTAACCCAACATGTAACACTCTTGTTTCTATTCTTTTTCCTTTCGATGATTCTCTTCAAGTCATCTGGTTCGCAAGGAATTGCAAGTGCTCCTACCTGAGAGAACCCAAACTCTTCTTCAGCTTGCTTTAACAACTTCACAAAATCAGGGTGATCCAAATATCCCAATTCAATAAAGAATCGCTCTGGTTTCCACCCTTCAGTTGCAATCACCACAAAGTGGCCTTGCTTCACCCCTTTTGGACGTGAGAAAGTGGTGTGTAGTTTCCTCATCACAGGTACCACTACTCCAAAACCACCCTTCCACAATCCCCAAGAACTAATACTATATGTTTTACCCATGCTCTAGAGGAACAAACAGTAACCTGAACAAGTTTCTGTAGGAAATTCCTACATGCAATGCTGGAATATATATAGTGGCTCGTGTCACCACAAGATAAAAAGTACACGACAATGGAATTCCAATTGATAAGTGTAGGCGTGGGGACACTGGCATGTGAGTTTTCATTAATAGTAAATGTCACTGTTTCCCTCATGTTGGAGACGAAGTTAGCTCCGTCCTAGCTTGATGCATCATCTTTCAACTCACTACATGCAAGAGAAAAAAACATACACGAAGGAGAACTAGACAAAAAGTACTTCTCCACTCATTTCAATTTGCCTTCATTCAAAAGGGGCTCCATAATGCTTCTTAATTAACACATAAAGAAGTTGATTACTGACTAAATATATAATCATATTTATTATAAATAAGTTGATATTGAATTTCTAACATTTGCATTTAGTTACTATTGGAATTAATTATGTTTAAGCATTATATTAACCGTACAAAACTACTCCAACTTCAATGTATAGGCTTAAAATAAAATATATATGTAAAAGAGACTAGAAACCAGCATTGACCAAACAGGCGAGAGAACACTTTTTTATTTCTTGTTGAACTACTGTGAGCAGATATTAAGGAGAGTAAATGTAATGTAGCTTTTGCGTTGCAATATGCACAATTTTTGTTTTTTCACCCTTGGCCAAGAATATCCTCTACTATTGCTGGCACCCATCTGTTTTGACAATAGGGGATAAAGGAAGTAGCAAGTAGTAAATTATCATGGTCATGATAGCGACGACAGGCAAGAGTACTATCGGATGAAGGATCACACTGCGGTCATATAGTTGTCCTTAAAAAACACTGCAGTCATTTAAATTATTTGTGAACACTTAACAGTCATCCGTAAATGACTATTTTACCATTTCCCTTTTCGCTCTTACGTTTTGTTCTTAGAATAAAGTTAGGAGAGCGATTATATTTTTGGTTAGTGAAATAATTTAAACTATTTTCTTGAAAATAGACAATACTTAAGAATAATTTTTTAAAGCTCATAATAAACATGAAAATATATCATATTACAATCTCATATTTTTGGAAATGAAATAATAATCTTTAAAATAAACATAATATAATGATAATTTGTCCGTGCGTATGAAAAGTATTTTGTTAAGAAAGATTGTGCTCACTCGAAGGGCCTCTTCGTCTTAAAAAGAGAAAAGATATTTTTTTGTGCACACCCAAAAAAGGAATGTGCTTGTTTCACGTTGGATAAAGCTTCTTACATATCAAGTGATCCGCTCTCACTTCAAGTATGAGGCGGAAGGAAAACTTAAGTTTGCCACCAACTACATATACTGAAAAATATGCAAAATGAGATTGTTATATAAACATTATTCTTTCACATTTTGCTTAATGCAAATAGAAATTCACACATTTCCCGATAGCGTTTTGAGGATTTCTTGGAAGGAAATAAAAACCTCCTTCCAATCAATGCAAGATAGCATTTGATGCTAATGTAAAACAATAAAAAAATTGTTACATACACATAATTTCATCTTCTTTTTTGCACCTCTATTTTCTTATTCCACCACCTACTCATGATATGAGATATCCTTGCATATGGGGCAAAAAGCATTTTATTTAAAATAAGCATGCTCTACTAAGTTGCTGCATATTACTATATATGGAGGAAAGAAGTATTCCAAGGACAATTTACAGCAAAAGTCACGAAGGAGGAAGCCATCATTACAAACACAAAGAGACACTACTGACAAGTAGTACTTGAAATATCACAAAGCACTCCTCTTTTTGTCTTTACCTGGAGGACCAGGATGCTTAAGTACCTAACCCGCTGCAACAATATAAAAAAGCTTCGAATAAATTAAACAGAAAAAGAGGAATTGATATGAGATTATGAATTGAATAGCAGCCGTGTTTAGAATCACGTTTCAACATATTTTAAAATCACACTAATACAAACATTACAACTAATAGCGCTCCAACAAACGTGGATCCATAGAATGTAACGTAAATTTAAACATACAAAGAGTTTCCAAGCCACATCAAATGCAGTGTTAGCTCCATCTCAACCTGAAAACCTAAACCTCCATCAATCCCATTTTCAAGAATCTTTTATTTTTACTAAATGACAAGTAGAGAGTAAATTGGCTTGGCTCAACTCAAAGTCCTTCAACTTGTTCCATATTTAATCAACCAAGGCAAAACGCTGATGAACAACTTACCCTGAGCTCTCACTTATAACAAACACTATATGGAAGCAGAACAAACAATTTATAGGCAATTTGAGACTTACACAAAATAACAAATTAAAAATTTATTTCAATACATAACTTTAACCCTTTAGGAAATAATGATACTGCGCAAAAAAGACATCTTTAAGTCCACCATCATCGATACTGTGAAATGTGAAATACGAAGCAGAGAGTGCTTCCTTGAAATTAAACTAATAGAAATTCCTCTAGCGGAGAAATAATATGTCCTCTCTGATTGTAAGAAGCCACGTGCAATAACACATGTTCCAAAAAATGACCAAAACTTGCTCTAGTGCAATAGACCAAAATTTTAGGAGACACAAAATTAATGTCATAATAATTTGGTTGAATTTAATTTAATTTTTACAGACCCAAAATTCAGAATCCTCTGCGACGTGGAAATTGTGTACATGCAAAGTTATAGACTTAATCGGAGAGAAGATGGTGATAGGGGACAATTCACGTGCTCTATCACAATCACAAGATATAGATTGCAGTTATTTCCAAGTTAATTAATCATATTACAACTAACCATGCGATGCGAGGGTTTAGAGACACGACAGAAATATAATAAAAGTTTAAGGAAGAGGTTTTGTTTTTCCTAAAATAGAATGATGAAAAGAGTAGGAAGGTTTGGCGTGGTGAGGCCCGCATCTCCTGCACATGCCAAACTCAGTCGCAATAATAAATGAAAATGAGTAAGGAATGGAACGCACCGTTTTGGGGGAAGGAACATGAGTATCAGTAGGAGAGGATGTCAAAGAGAAGATGAACGAGGTTGGCGCATAGGAGGAAGAGAAGAAGGAGAAAGAAAAAGACAAGGGCAAAGCGTAAGAGGAAGATGAGGAGAATAAGCGTGAGGATTATGGAAATGGGAGAGTCGAGAAGCACCACCAACATAATTGAACTTCACACTAAGCTTCATCTAATTGCTCCCCTAATAATTCATTCAATTCCTCCCAAGGTCACAAGTAGATGGAACAAACAAAACTACCTTCTATCTTCCCCTGTCCCATTCTTATCTTACTTGCCGGGTTAATGAAAATTTTGACTCCATCATAAACATTATAATTATTTAAATGAATGTGTCATCTGTTCCAAATTCTAATCCTTGTGGCCAAGACAATTCTTTCCACATCCACTTGGGCTTTGCTTTCTCCACTGTTCTCTATAGTATATATCCCAGGCTATGGCCACTGCCTATAATTGGGCCTCACCACTACTGTTTTTTTGTAAATTGTTCACAGGGCTATTTTGTGGCCCAAAAATAGAAAGCCCAGCCTTCTGTGGTACTCGTACTTCATACTTCATACGTCACATCACAGATTTTCTTACAACGAAAATTAATTAGTTAAAATGTACTAAACAAATAAGCTAACCTGAAATTTCATAAACTTATTTTCATTTTTAAAATATTTATTTTTACATTTATCTTTTTTTCATGTTTCGATATATAATTCACCTTATATTTTCAATTTATAATTTAGAAAAAAAAAACAAGCTCACATACATTCAAGAAATAAGAATCGAAAATTTTCATAAATAATAAATGTCTCTTAGAGTATGTATATATTTTAAATTTAAGTAATTTTTGAATGTATATATCATTTAAGACAATATTTAAAATTTGAAAATAGTATGCACAAGCCACAAATAATTCATATAAAATTACTAAAAAAATATAAATATATGAAGTAAGAGTGTAAGACTGTAAAAAGTTACATGACTAATTTAAAATAAAAACAATACTTACTGCCTTTTAAAGATAAAGTATTTGAAGAGATTAAGTTACTCTTAATAGAATATATTATACTTAATATACTAATTCAAAAGAAATTATTTAAGTATGTAAAGATAAATTTATGACTATGAAGCACGTATGTCAAGTGATAAATGGTTATACAGCTAAACATGTTATCTCAAAATTAAATTATACTCGAATTGAGAACTTAACTATCTGTATTAGTTCTACTTATTTAAAAATATAAACATGTTTGCCGTCTAATTTTTTTTGAAGTTGTTATAACTTGGAAGGTTTGTCCACTCTATCATTCTTGTACGTAATTGAGACATCAATGACATTGTCTTTCTCACAGCGGTACCCATAATTGATCTACTACAAGGCTACCTCAATTCTTGCATCGTCAAAATCATTGAAAATTCAGACATTGGGAATTGGTAAACACAGAAAATTTAGTATTTTTACTCCTATTCTTATCCTTACCGCTTCTAAAAGTCAACAAATAAACAATGTGTTGTCCATTTTTCAATTCTCACCTCAAAATTTAGGACAAGTAAAATCTAGTCGTGCCAATAAATTCAGATTTTAGTGGCATTGACCAAAAAAAGAGAGAGAGTGAGAAAGATCATTTTAGTGTTTGTAGGGTTTTTTTTTTTGGGGGGTCAACGAATGGAGATTGAATTGTGGCTCAAGTTTGATGATCAATCCATTTGGGCCTCTTGAGAATTCTTAATAGCCCTCTCTGACTTTTGGGTTTACAATGAAGATATTCAACAGAAGTGGGGAAAGAAGGCGTTGACAGATAAATCATCGTTGGACCAAGAAAACCAGCAACGCCTTGTTTGGTTGCCACTAAGAATTGTTTTATGATAAATTGTAAAAAAACTAAACAAATTAAACACTTTAACTTAACTTTTAAAATATAGATGTAATTGACTAGTATAACGTAAAAAAAAAACCTTAATTGATGCTACTTGTCTTTAAAACATGTTAGACACTATAC